CCATTTAATAGAATCTAGATCCGATATAGCGTCTTCGTAGGTTCTGGGTTCATCGTCTTGGTAAACAAGTACGGCACCATGTTGAGTCACGAGATAACCGTATCTCTCAGGCTCATGGCGTACTCTCCCAGATCTACGTAACTCCTGTGCTACTTGAGGTGGTTCACTTTGATCCACAAGTTGTGGAGTAACCTCCTCTTGATGTTCAACCATTGCTTGTGGCACATCTTCCCGTCCTTCGTCTAGTATATCTTGTGGCTCTAGAACTTCATCGAGTTATACTTTTCTCCCACTAGTACTTCTTAGAAAAAATTAATTTTCTAGGAAGACACCAGTAAAGCAACAAAAATTTTGCGCTCTTCTAGATGGTAGAACTAGTATCCTTTGGTCTCTTTAGGATACCCCACAAATATACATTTGTAGGATTTTGGGCCCAACTTGTTCGAAGTCAATTTCTTGACATAAGCTTCACAACCCCAAATCCTTAGCTAAGACAAATTGGGCTTTCGCCCATTCCATAGTTCAAATGGAGTATTGTCTACAGACTTTGACAGCGCACGGTTCAAAATGTGAGTTGCAGTCTCTAGGGCATAACCCCATAATGATGCAGGTAAATCACTAAAACTCATCATGGACCTAACCATGTCAAGTAAGGTCATATTCCTCCTTTCAGACACTCCATTGTGTTAGGTTGTATGCGGAGGGGTGAGTTATGATACTATCCCACATTCCTTCAAGTGTTCAAAAAACCTTGAGCTTAAGTATTCACCTCCTTGATCTGATCGAAAAGCTTTAATTCTTTTGCCCAACATATTTTGTACTTCATTCCTAAATTATTGGAACTTATCAAAGACTTCATATTTATGTTTCATGAGGTAGACATAACCATATCTACTAAAATCATCAGTAAATGTGATGAAGTAGGAATATCCACCTCTAGCTTCAACTGTTAGTGGACCACATACATCACTATGGATGATGCCTAACAGTTCAGTAGCCCTTTCACTTTGTCCTGTGAAAGGTGATTTGGTCATCTTGCCTAAAAGGCATGACTCGCATACCTCAAATGACTGGAAGTCAAAAGGGTTCAAAACTCCATCCCTTAAAAGTTTTGCAATACGGGTCTGATTAACATGACCCAATCTACAATGCCAGATGTATGTATATGGTTTTGTTTGCTATGTTTAGCTTTCTTAGTTTCAACGTTGAGAATATCCTTATTGTTCAAATCAAGAACATATAATCCATTATATAACCTTGCAATTCCAAATAGAATACCATTCAAACTAAAGGACAACAATCCATTAGAAATCTCAAAACGATATCCTATATTATCCAAAGCAGATACTGAAATAATGTTTCTAGAAATCGCAAGTACAAAATAACAGTCTTTGAGTTTTAATAATAAGCTCGAAGGCAAAGATAAACAATAAGTCCCTACAACTAATGCAACCGCATGTGCTCCATTTCTAACTCGTAGGTCCACTTCTCCCTTGGCGAGCAATCTACTTTGCCTTAGTCCCTGCACATCAGTACAAATGTGAGTACCATATCCTGTGTTAATGACCCAAGATGTTGAAGGAGAGAAGTTAATCTCAATCATAAACATACCTGAAGTCGAAGCATCTGACTTCTTCTTGTTTGCGAGGAAAGCCTTACAGTGCTTCCTCCAGTGGCCAAGCTTGCCACAATAGAAGCAAACTACCTTCCCATCTTTCCCAACACCACCTGCAGGCTTGAGAGCATCCTGTCCTTTTGGCTTGGGCTTGGGATTGGCCTTGGCCTTTCCCTTGCCCTTACCCTTTCCTTTTTTGGTAGCTACCAGTAAAACAGGCTTGGACTTCTTCAAGTCCTGCTCTACAGTCCTTCGCATGTTCAAAAGCTCCGATAGGTTTTCACCATAGCGTTCATATTAAAGTTCATTATGAACGGTGCATAAGAGTCAGGCAAGCATTACAGAATTAAATCCACTTGTAATTCTGCATCTAACTCAAACCCCAAAGTCTCAAGCCTCTCCATGAGCTCGATCATTTTGAGCATATGAGGGCCAACTTGGAATCCCTTAGTCAGGCGACTTCCAAACAGTGCTTTTGACACCTTGTACCTCTCATGTCGAGCATTCCTTTCGTAAAGCACCTTAAGGTGTAGAATGATGGCATTATCGTCCATATTCTCATGTTGCTTTTGCAGCACTGGTGTCATCGATACTAACATCAAGCATTGAACACCATCAGCATCATCAAGGAACTTTTGATAAGTATCATTTACTTCTTGAGTGGCATCAGGATCAGGCTCAGCCATGTATGGCTTATCAAGGATTTACAATTTCTTTTCAGACTTAAGTATAATCTGAAGATTATGATACCAGTCCGAGAAATTGGATTCATCCAACCTGTTTTCTTTCTCGATTATCAGTCGTAGGTTCATAATGCTCATTTTTAAGTGAATCTAAAATTCAGAAAAGTAAAGTCAATATAATGTTTATTATTTCTTAATATGGTCTTTTATTAAAAAACACTCCCACTATTTTCCTCAAGCCAATAGCCCTAACTATTAACTCGGGAAAGCCTGTTGGCTTTCCTAGTGGACTGAGATCCCATCTGGCCCATTTCAAACCTTCGCTGTGGCAAACAAGCCAAAATGGGTTGATTAGGTAGGCCAACAAACTTAATCCACACCAATTGATTTTTTAAGTCGATCCATCATCATTAAGGAAAACTCCAATGAATTTTAACCTCCCACTGATAGAAGTGTACCCTTCGCTGTGGTGAACAAGGTTCCGACGAACAGTGGTTTGATTAAAACCATGGTGATGGAAGATATACGTGAGTTAATATATCTTATTTGAGGGTTTTTATTTAATGTCGCACCAGATTATTATCTTTGTTAGAATGACATTGTTTGGCATGTTATTGAACATTCAACCTTAGCATACATTCTAAACAAAAAATTAAACATGTTAGTACATGGCCCACTAAAACCGATTTCCTCGACCTTATAGGAATTGGTGGGTCAACCTAGGGTTTAAAAATAAATCTTGGATCTTCATGCATCAGTCTCCAATCTTGTGAAACCTGATTCTGGTTCTTGCCATGTTAAAATAACTGAAGAAGAAGATAATCAATTAGAAGAAATTCCATTATGTCAATTGGTGAAACAACAGAAAACTTGTTAGCAACAATGTCCAAATACAAATTCTGAACAAAAATGGAAAAATCTTTGTAAAGAAGATCTAGACAGCAAAACTTTCGGTCTAGGGAAAAAGGTAATGTTTTTTCACTGTATCATGTGAATATATTCTTATGGCATGATAATGTTAAGGTGGTTTCATTGTTTTTGAAATAGGCTTATGAAGGTTTCTTAGAAATCAGAGAACGTTAGCTTGTTTTAGAAGACGTGGTTGCAGATTTGACAAAACAAAATGAAGATGCGATTGCCAAGGTTCGTAGATTGAAAGAACGGTTGAAAATATCAAAGGATGCGTTTGAAAAGGTCAAAACCGAATTGAAACACTGTCAAGAATCATTTAGAAATGTTGAAGAGTCTTTTGCAAATGAATGACAACAAAAGGAAGTCTTTAAAAAGAAAAGTTATGAATTGTTTGAAGAAAATAATAAGATTAGATCATTAATTGCACAAGCTGAGAAAGATAAAGAAGAGGCTTATGATTCGGTGTCAGATATGTTTTTGACCACTAGAAAAGCTTGTGTGAAAGAATTTAAGGACAAATTCCCAAATGAAGATTCTAGTTTTTTAGAGACAATTGTGTTGAAAAATGAGGAGATGCCGTTTAATTTTGATTATATTGATTGCAATGTTGTTGTACCTTTCTCTGGTCCACTTAATGGCACTTCTATAAATATTTAAACCATTTGTTAAGCACTTTCACCGTATTTTGTCAAAATTTGGCTCACAAGTGTTTATAATCATATTATTATCATGGACATGGATGTATTCAGTTGATGCTAATTTTTGTGCATGCGAAACAAAATCTCCAGTTTATGTAATGTTATTTTTGTAAATATTTAAATTGTTTAATTGTAATATTAAGGTTAAATATCTTGATGACACTTGTCACGTGATAGTTTATAGATCAGTTATGTGTGTAAAACATATGTATTTATAACAGATAATACATTTAATGTAGTGTTCATCGTATCTGACAATAATAATATAAAACATATAAATATCTATGTATCAAGCAAATTATATTACTGTATTTATTTAAACATTTAATGTGAACTTTTCATAGTCATATAAATATGTTTAATTTTTCACATCAATCTCTCATAAACAATCTCTTATATTATATACAATGTATCAATCCTTTCTGTTATAAACAATTATTATATAATATAGAACATATTAATCCTTACAGTTAAAGACTTCTTTGAAAACAATATTTGTCAATGTCTCTGCCGATTCATCTTCTTGCAAGGCTAGCAGAATCTTGATACCTTGTCTTGAAGTTACTCTTGATAGTGCCATGTACAATTGACCATGTGTAAAGGCTTGATGGTTCATATATAATCCTACTGTTTTGAGTGATTGACCCTAGCTTTTGTTTATTGTCATATAGAAGCTAACTGTCACAGGTAATTGTCTTCTCTTCAACCTGAAAGGCCACTTCATATCTGCAATTGACAATATTATTCTGGGAATTGTGACAATATCCCCAATGTTTGACTTGGTGATAATCATTGCTTGTATGTACCACTTTCCTAAATGGGTTATGATCAATCTGGTTCAATTGCAAAGACCATCAGATTGATTCAAATTATGCAACAACATAATTAGAATGCCAATTTTCAGATGCAATTCATGTTTGGGCATGCCGGAGCACATCAGAGAATTAAAAAAATTCGGTGGGGTAGAGAATGTCATTATTGTTTGAGATACTTGCTGCTTTGTAAGTGCTGTCTGATTTGAAATACGTCTTTCCATCTGTTGACTCTAGGTGATATAGTCATTCAATCTATGTACTGTCTTATTTTTGGGTGTCAATATTGCTCTCTCTCTCTCTCTCTCATATAATCAATATTATTTATCTGAGCAAATAAATCTGGAAAAACAACGTTCATAATCGTTTCTTTGTGACTGGCATGTTGATCAATTTTCAAATCTTTAGGTATTTGGATGTAACTTTCATCTTCTGTAATGTCCCTTCCTTCTCCGATATTAAGTAACCGTTTGTCAAAAGCCTTAAAATTATCCAATTCTATTGGGTTCACCAAGTTTGTCTTCAACCTCATGTTCTCTGTAAGTGTCAACACTGTTACATGTTTCCAAAGGGAAGACGATGATAAACATGCCTGTATTATGTCATGTTTTTTCCCTTTTGGTATAACCGGTAGAATCTGTCTGAAATCACTACCTAGGGCAACGGTGAGGCCTCCAAATATGCTATCTGTGTTTGATTGATCTTTTTCAGACAAAATATCTTTCAGAGTTCTATCAAAAGCTTCAAAGCAGTACCTGTTTGCCATGGGTGCTTCATCCCAGATGATCAAAGTTGTTTGCGCAAGTAGTTTTGCCAATTGTGTCCCCTTTTTGATATCACATGTACTTTCCTCAATGATATCTAAAGGAATTCAAAAACATGAATGTGTTATTCTTCCATCGGATAACAGCAATTCCTGATATAGCTACGACCAATACAATTTTACCCTCAAATCTTAATTTGGCCATGATTGTTGACCATAGGAAGGTTTTGCCTGTTCCACCATGTCCATAAACAAAAAATGGTGTTCCACTTTGGTTGTTGACAGAATCAAGGATCGAATCATATACATGTCTCTGGCCATTGTTAAGACCCTTGTATAAATCACTGTGCACTGTTTTCATGTTGTCGATATCATAATCTAATTCTTCAGCAATTAATCTATTTTGTGAATTCTCAAAAACAAAATAGTCTAGAATTGGCATTCCAGGGAAATCAGCCAAGGATTTTCCTCCCTTTTTCATGAGCTCATCAATCTCGAACAATGCATAATTGTGAATCTGTTCTTCAGTGCATCTCAATTATGTCATCCGTATTTTCTATTTAAGGATGTAGGGAATGTCTTCAGATAGGCGTTCTACATTTGCTCTCCACAAGTCTCTTGGACTCACCACTTCATTATAACAAGAATAGTTACAAAAAGTTGTCTTAACTGTCTTCTGGTAGCCCACGTTGATGCTTCATCCAAGCAATCATTCCACTCTTTATCATCATCGAGCAATCCTAATGCATAACATGCATCTTTGAATGTAGCAAATATTTCTCTGTTGACAGTTCGAATATCTTCAAATGATGTTGCTCCTCTTACTAAGTTCAGGAGCATTCGCAAATAATATTTCTCATCACTACCTGGAAATGCAAAATACACCCTGCCAATACACCTTGATTTTTGTCGTGGTGACCATTGTCTTTCTGTATCCTTCCAAACCCATTCGCTCAGAAAATCAGGATAAGTCAATGATCTTGCAGAATGGTATCATTGATTACACTTCATCCATTCAGTCAATTTCGTTTGCGTAACAACATTGCTTCCCAAAAGTTGAACCAAACACTTACTGGGATCGAAAACAACTGTTTGTTTGTTCTCTAAGTGGAATGGCAATCTTTCAACAGCTGGTTCTTTGTAATACATGTCAAACTTAAATATCCTCCAGCAAGCTTCCATAGAAGAGATATATCTGTAATGTTTTCGATTGAATTACTTAATATCATATTTATAACAACTATCAACAACAATATAAAAACATTATATTTGATGTGTTTTGTAATACCTGGAGTCCAAATATGCCTTTATTTCGTCTTTGTCTTATAAAATCTCGCATTGATTATTCTATTGACCATTGTTTTCAATTTCCATAGAAACTCTCGTTCTATCCGGCCCTTTGTTGACATACTTGAATAGATACTTGATTGATCTATGTTGATTACATATCTCAATATTTATCTGAGCATCAAACTTAACCAAAAGATTCATATTATAAAAAACAACAAAACGGTTATCCAGTTTGTAATGCCCAACATGGAGTTACATGATTTAAATTATGTTTTATAGCCCTTAGTTGATTTTTGTTAGAATTATTTTAAGAGAATATGAAGAAATTGCCTTAAACTTGCATTAAGGGTAAAATAGTCTTTTCACTCAAGATTAGTTGAAATTGTGGGAAGTGAAAAGAGATAGAATTTCATAGAGAATACAATAAAAATGAGGGCATTATGGTAATTGACTAAGGGACAAAGATGGAATTTCTAAGAAAGAGTAAGGGCAAAATGGGAAAGTGTGGTTATAAAATAAAAAGTTAAGGGTTTGAAACCCTTATTTCTCTCATTCCACCGCCACTCTCCTTCTCCATTTTCTTTCAATTTTTCACTCAATTCTCCAAGGATTTTGAGTGGATTTTAATAGGGTTTTGATCCTAGGCAACAAAAGTCAAGAAGTCTTGTCTTTATCTATGATTTATTTATGAAAAGTTGAGTTCTTATGAAGTTTATGCTTAGGGTTAAGAGAAGGTTTGAATCCAACAAGAGTAGAGAGCTTAGTAGAGATTACTCAAGTATAAGGTAAGTAATTCACTCAAAAATCCAAATTAAATTAAAGTTTAAGAAATCAGTGAGTAGAGATTTCTTTAAGCAGCATATGTTAAGATATTGAGAAATTAAGATGAGATTGATGATTATTATGCTTGTTGTGGATATATTGAGTATGAGAAGTGTATGTGATGGTATGATGAGGTTGAAATTGGAAGTTGGAGAAAACTTTTGGGAGTGTTTTTGCCGTGTAGGTATGGTGATGATATAAGAGAGTTTTTCTCTTCAATTTGGATGGTTTAAGAAACAAATAGAATGATAATTAAATTAGGGTTTGCATATGCACATTTATGTTTGACGAAATGCCTAAGAGAAGCATGAGTATGAGTAGTGGCGTGCTGTCATAGGCACCCAGAATTAAAACCCTAAAAAATCACGAGTAGTGTGAGTAGGGATCGTTCCCACGAAGAGTGTCTAGCCGAGTTTAATGTTACGTGAACAAGGCTGGGGGTTTTGAGTAAAAGAGAATAATTTCAGGAAAAACAATTCAAATTAAACTATCAAAATCAATCAAATAACGAAACTTGGTCAGGTCAACATCCACCATCGGAATCTTACAACTGATCATCGATGCAAAAATAAATCAATTCATACCCTGAATATTCACCGTTCGAACTTTTCCTATCTCTCCTTAGTTGTAATTAATTAGAAACAAGCGATCTAATTAACCTTACTACAAACAACCCTAGACAAGCGCTAAAGATTTAATAGTGGTAGCCTTAGACCTAGAGAGATCGATGAAGCTAAACAACACAAACTCAAGCGGTTGCATTTAATTTAGTTGAATGTTCTTCTTAAGACTTAATAATTCTGACGCAGCAAATTCTTAAACGCTAATTGTCACAAGTTAAAAGATCAAACACAGATTTGATATCTAACTTAGCAGTAGATTGCAAAAAAATAATAAACTAGTAGGCCTATAGTATAAACGCAACAATCATTAAAAAATGCATAGAAGAACATCCAATACTCAAACAAAATTGAACGCTTAAGAAAAAAAAACAGTTGATCTCACAGTTTATTGATCCGAGGCCTTGTTTCCTTCGACCCAGTTATAAAAATTAGCCATCATGGCCACATGAAAATTTCAAGGAAAAACGAAATCCACCAGAGAGAGAAGAGAGAGCGTGTGTATTCTCCTGTAATCCCTAATCTGATCTCCCTTTAAAAATATCTAATCAAATTCAAATTCTACTCAATCTAAATCTCCTAAAAATATTCTAAAATCCCAACATAACCTTTATCAATCTGAGTAATTGAAATAAAATAAAGTCTTAATCAAAATAGGAAAGTGGTGTGCCCAGTGTAATTCGCGTGCAACAAGTCTTCAAAACTTCTTGTAATAATCTGCCTATTTGAATTGCATGACAAGGCGGAATGTTCCAGAACGTCGGCAGTGCAGGGTGCGTCAACTTCAAGCTCGATTACAACCTTGATGCAGTGAGTATCTGTAATCCGTAAATTATACAGTTTTTATTAGAACTTTGTCGGATTTCAGGTACTTTCTAGTGCATTTTGACCTGAATTGTTGCTTAATTCTTTATTTTCGTGTTTCAGGTTAAAATGGACTTTTTGAGCAAATAAAGACAAAATTAATAGTTTTGACTCAGAAATTAGCGGATCTCAGAAGATAGGAGAGTTCCGGGCAGGACAAAGCAATGAAGCTTGTTCCCAAGGAAGGAGCGAGAATCGAAGAATCGAACGAAGAAGCAAGCGGAGTGGCAGTTCTGTAATTTCAGAAATGAGGAAGAAGCTTCGCCCCGGCGAAGAAAATGTCTTCACGCGGCGAAGTTGGCCAGGGACGACTTATCTGACTCATTCTTCGTCGCGGCGAAGAATTCTTCTTCGCCGCGGCGACAGTCAATTATTCAGTTTTGTTAAATGCACGTTTTGTTGTGCGTGTTTTGGCTGGGGTTTTGGACTAAGTATAAAAGAAAAACTAACCTTTTGCCAAGGGATCGGTAGCTGTTAGGTTAAGCCGTTTTTTACACTTTTCTTAGAGTAAAGCTTTGAGTTTTTCGGTTGTTTAAGGAGAAGGTTCAGATTTTGACTTGAAGATTATCTTTTGGGGAGATTTTTTATCTTTCATCTCAGTTTCATTATGTTTAACTTGTTATTTCATTTTTCGTTTTTGTAGTATTATTTAGCTAGAACTAATCTTTATGGGTTAGGGTTTTGATTGTAGTTGGATTTTAAATGGGTTAAGTGTTTGATTGTGTTATTTCCATGTGAATAAGCTTTGGGTGTGTGTTACTCTGAAATTGAATGCTGTATGTGTGAACATGAGGAGATGAGAAATAATTCAGTTAGGCTTCTTGGGTAATCACCATTATAGTATTGGATGCTAGAGATAGATTCAAGATTAATGAAATCAATTAGGATTCTTGTGCTTAAGAATTTAGAATTATTAACCTTCAATTTGTTGGGTGCGGAATGTTAATAAGGATGAATAGGAAAAACTAGCCCGTAGGGTATGTTTAACATATTAGTAATTGATTTACAACCACTGCGCATGAATGTGAACCTAGTGTAATTTTAGGTTTAACCCATAAAGTCCCAACGAAGTCAAAACCCTACCCGTTTTACTTGAATGATATTTCGTGTTTTTATATTGCTTTCTAATTTAGTTTCACCTTAGTAAATTTATTTTGTTGTTTTAAATTAAAACTTGCTCCCACCAATCCAAAGAATTCGATTACTTCAACTTGATAACGTTAGGAAACTTAGTGCTTTGCTAACAGTCCTCGTGGGAACGATATCTACCCATCATTATTACTTGAGCATAGTGCATTTGCTAGTTTTGCATGTTGTAAGAAACACGCATCAGTATCTCTCCAAACTCAAAACATAAAAGTTTTAGACTCTTTCTTAGCGTTCCACGGAATTTTGAATCATCTCAATCGGAGCTGGATGAGAGAGTTATGCCCAGATTACGAAGCAATGTCAAAACTGTCTGAATTCTCTTAATTAGTTCCGTTTTGCAATTAACGCCTCCATTTGCATCCTAAATCAATAGAAGAAATAATGAGTACATTTAGGCAGCATAAGTATAAAATACTAGACATTAGGGGGTTGAATAGACATTTTGCATTCCTCAAGTAAACCTTAATTTTATGCAACATTGCATAATTGCATTTCATAAGTGCATAAGTAAATTTTAAGCATGAGCCATATATGCATATATTTGTTATTGTGTAATAATTTAAGAAGATGAAGAATTTTTAGAATAAAAACTTTAAGAGTAAAGAGAAAGAAAGAA